ATGTAGGGCTGATTCTACAAGTGTCAGTCAAATGTGGGGCCGATTCTACAAGTGTCAGTCAGACGGTAGGCCGACTCTATGTAATGTAATACAGGGCGTCTGTTTTATCTCAATACAGTGAATATCTGGCGTGACAGTGAACGTGTTAATAAGTAAATGTTGTTCAAATTATGTCGTGTTTGATGTCATTTTCATCAGAAAAATCTCATCAATATGTTAAGAAAAATTTCGGGATAAAAAAACGTAAAATTAAAAAAGTTGGTATTTAAATCGCTTGGTTGCCTCGACTCACGTTTCATCCTTATCTTTTATTCGCTGTCCTTGTCTACGTTCGGCAAACTACAAAGGCGGGCGCGAGGCTTGAAAACGTAGTCCCTGACTCTACAAGTGTCAGGTTTAGATTCCTTGCGGACTGACACTTGTGGAGAATTTACTGTACTTGGGAAAATTAATAATTTTATCAGATTTTTAGCTGGGTCTAGTAAATTTTTGAGGAATATTAGTTAGTTGGTATTAATTCTTCTTAATTATTCCTAAGAGATTTTGAATATTATGATCATTTATTCCCAAGAAATTTGGAAAAGTTAATAATTTTATCAGATTTTTAGTAGGATCTATAATAGCATATTTTTTAAATATATTAGTTAAGTAGTACTCATTCTTATTAATTATTCCTAAGGGATTTCGAATATTATGATTATTTATTCGTAAAACATTTCCAAAAAATTAATATTTGCTATTAAGGTGTTAGTAAGATTTCTAGCAGGATTTAGTATATTTTTCAAGTATATTGGATAGTTAGTATTAATTCTTATCAATTACTCTTAAATGATTTCAAATTTCATTCCGAGTTTAATTACAATTTTTGGTGAACAATGAGAAGGTGATTTTTTAAAAAATAGTACCAACTTTTTCTCTACTTTCAAGTGCGATACTTTGGGGCTCGGGTCGAGCACACGGTAATAACAACGCACGCCAAAATCACTCGAGAAAATTGTGTCACCGCGTCGACAGAGAAACTCTCCGAGCCGTCGTTATTCATCATAAATCCGTCGATCTTTCGAAAGCTATTCAGGAAGAAAACTCGTTTATCGCTTGCTTTCAAACGCTAGGAAGAGCTTATTCCGAGACGGCGATCTTCGATGCGTCTATATCCGCGAACACGCGCACAGTAGAACAAAGACATGGACGAATGAAGAGACGAAGGTACGAGTCGATCCGTGAAATTGAATCAGAAAATCCTCTCTCCCCCCTCTCTCTCTCTCTCTTGAAACAAAACATTGAAAGAAATTCACGAGGAAAACGGGAGCAACGCGGAAAAAAGGGAGGAATATTAATAAACGAGGAGGAGAAAAGAGAAAGAGAAATGGTCCCAGGCCTGCCGACATTTCAAATGCTAATTCTACGATAGCACGAGAGAGAAAGATCGTGTATCGGCGGGGAAAGAAGAAATTAATTAGGCATCAGCCGGCCGATATTAGCGATCTCGTGGAAATCTTTCAGCCTTTCGGATATATACCGCCGACGGTACGATAATTGGCGACGTTTCTAGAATTCCATCGGGAGTATAATAAAAGGAGAGAATAGTAAAACAGGAGGCGGGGGATCGAAGTAAACGACAATGGGTGTCTCGATGGCGGCTTCACAATCGGGAATCTATTAGCCACAGCCTGAATCGATCTAATATACTCTCGATGCCGGTTTCTTCCGGCTTAAAAGGTCGTCGAGCTCGTGTTCGTTCAACTACACAGCTTGCTCGCGCGAAAAGTCGTAGAAAAGTCCGCGGCGGGGGTACGACGAGCGAGAAAATAGCGCAAAAGTGTAGCGTTAGATGCGAAGAGACGTGTGCTAGAATGCATCGAGGATCTCGCGATTAAGGCGTTTCACGTGGCCCGCGGGGATCGGTGGATCCGTTAGAGAAAGCTAGGATTGAATTGTACCCTCGAGCGGATATCAGGGATGTTCGTTAATCCAGAGGCGAGAGAAAGGGGTGGTCGTGGAGAATTCGATAGCGGAGCTATACAGAACGAGTGAAAAATAGAACGGGGTGAGAATTAGAGGTGGCATTGATCCCATCCCCGGTGGACTTTTAATAAAATACTCGCGTCTTGATCTGGTGAACCGGGGGGAAGGTAGAAACGAGCCGGTTGGAAACAAAGGGAGAGCGGAGAGAAGAAAAACTGATATCCATCGTGCACGCGAATTGTTCGTAGGCCTGAAAAGCGACAAGGGAGTAAATTAAGTTCCCTATCCCGCGGTGTTCCATTAGCGGCGCTATCGTGGATCGATGATGAAGGTAGGAAAAGAGAGAGCGAGAGAGAGAGAGAGAGGGAGAGAGAGGGAGTGGGTGGTGTGGTACGCTGACAAGGCGAGATCTGTAATAGCGATCGGTGGTGAATCGCGCGCGGAATGGCGGAATGGCCGGTGAGCGTTGTGGCGGGTGGCCTGGGTATCGGCGTCGACGCCGTCGTCGGGCTCACGAGCGAGCAAGCGTCGTTCGAAGGCAGGTACGAAGGAAGGGGGAAGGAAGGTAGCGTGGGAAGAGGCAGGTAGGGGGTACGTGGCAAAAGGCAGAAATAATTCCACATTTGCCGAGCTGGCTCGCACGTGTCACACGCCTCAGGCCCGCACACGTGCGCACACGTGTCCCTTTTCGCGTTTCTGTTTCGCGCGACACGTGAATAGAGGAGACGACAAGAGGCAGAGCTCGAGAATCGGAACGAACGTGGGAGAAGGCGAAAGGAGAGGAGGAGGTGAAACGGTGTGAAGAGAAAAACACGCGCGATTGTCACGACCGAAACAGCTCAGAAAGAGAGAGAGAGAGAGAGGATATACATAGTGTCGCGCATGAAAAAGGGGGAGGAGGAACGAAAAAGAAGGAAATATTAAAGAGGTGGAGAGGAGGAGAATGTGATAGCCAGGGATCGTGATTAAAAGCACTGCGACCGGTGACGAACCCGCGGATTTCTAAATATATATAGACCGGCGATGTGCAAGAATAGGAGGCAACCAGCACGACTCGCGAACGCGTCTCGAGAGAGAACGAATGGAACGTGAGCTCGCAGTGGGCACCGCGACGCCGCGGCGTCACCCGGACCCGCGTTCGGATAGGTCAGTTATCGCGGAACAAACTAGCTGCCGGCGGGTTCGCGTTAGAATCCTGTATCAGCCTTTCCCGCACACAGGTAACCAAAAATTGGATTTGCCGACTTTTACATTTATACTTCTCTGTGTACAAAATACCTCCTTACTTACCCTTTCTGTTCTTCTCGTATCGTTCACTATGGAATCGCGAGTGTCTCCTATACTCTGTGTTTCCCCCGTTTCAACCCCTTCCTAACCACCTCGAACCGACCCGATTATTCCATTTAACTCGTTCCTGCACTTGTTGAATTCACCCCTTTTGCACGACTCGGCACTAGGTTCGAAGCAGTTCGTGATCGTGATACGCGTCACGCTAACCCTTCCACATTTTTCCTTTTCTTCGTTCCATGATTTTTTCTTCTTCTTCTTCGTTTTCTATTTGTTTTCGTATTACGTTTAGTTGTAGACTTAGAATTGAAGTAAAATCGAGAGAGAGAGAGAGAGAGAGAACGTTCTTCAGTGGCTCGCGAGTTTTTTTTTCCGAGTCCCGAGGCTTCGAAGTCCCCTTAGACCCTCTTTTGTTCCTCTCTCAAGACGCTCCCCGTGTATTTACACTGCGGTTCGTCGTTGCTACCCCTCTCCTACGAATACTACTACTAGTATTTTCTTCTTCTCTGCTCACCTCTTCGCAGAGATATCTCGCAATCGTGACTCGAGGTAGGTCAGTAACTGCGTTCTCTCGGTTCCTCAACCTTCTACGCCCTTCAATTCCGCCACGCTTCCTACTACCTTCCGCTTCTAGCTTCATTCAACCGGCTGCTAGTTCCCTTGCTTCTCCAGCCACTTTAAGATTTCCTTCTTTCTGTGTACACGTAATGTCTGCTTTTTGTCGATCTGAATTAGTTCTGCCTTTTTGTTTGTTTGTTTAAATACACGTGTAGACTAGCGCTTTGATGTGCGAAGCTGAATGAGCGTGGATCGTGGATCTTTCAAAATTGTGTAAAATATTGGGGGAAAAATCGAGATACTGACAGAAGGTGGTTTATACAATTATATTTGCCATATAATTTGCCATATATATTTCAATGAAAAAAACAATGCAAAGTTTGAAATTTATTTGTATTTCAAGAAATTTGTAATATTTCTGGATAATATCTCAAAAATTAATTGCTTCTGGATAATATCTCAAAAATTAATTTTTTCTGTATAACACCTCAAGAATTAATTATTTCTGGATAATATCTCAACATATCTCAAGAATGAAATATTTCTGGATATCTCGAAAATTAATTATTTTTGGATAATATCTGAAGAATTATTTACTTCTGGATAATAACTCCAGATAATATCTCAAGAACGAAATGTTTCTGGATAATATCTCAAAAATTAATTATTTCTGGATAACACCTCAAGAATTAATTATTTCTGGATAATATCTCAAGATAATACCCGAAGAATGAAATATTTCTGGATAATCTTATATCTCCAAAATTAATTATTTCTGGATAATATCTGAAGAATGAAATATTTCTGGAAAACATCTCAACAATTAATTTCATTAATCTCTCAATTAAACACAGTAGCTCGTTTATTCCACATTTACCCCAAACCGCAAAATTTTAATAGTTTCCCCGAACAAATTCAACGTGCGTATAAACATTTCATCCAGCAAATTTCCCGAAGATTCAGAAATACCGGTGACGAGACTCGCAGCTTCCTCGAAACT